CCTCAAGAACCGTCACTCGTATGAGACTCTGATGACATCTCGACAAGTGCATCTATAATGAAGTAATAATAAAAAGACCGTATCCACATGTACTACTATTTAACAAGACAATATTGTGCAATATTTAGAAAATACTAAATTAATGGGGTCGACTTTTAAATGTGAAAAGAAAATAAAGTGTTATGTCAATAATACGAAAGCGGACAGTTTGTGTATAGAATCCCCTGTTTCTCTATTGTTGATGTTTGATGTATTACATGAATGATATCACCACAATAATTCCACAATGAAATAACAAAACCGTTATACTCAATCCTTTTGTGTATAGCTCACTAATCTATACTAAGAGTTTTATATCCCTAGTCCACCAGCGTAAGCAAGATTAGGCAATACAATAGAATGTTAATTCCTAAGCCACTACTTGAGGTCTCCTATCCTATTCAATCGACATAAGCACAACAATTGCCCTAGGTCCAACACATAGACTAATATTCATTATTCCTTATGTCCCCAAATGTAGATTAAAAGAGTATCTCACATAAAAAGCATTAAGAACAAGGTGAAATTGAATAGAGTTATAACTCAAATTATTCGTGCAATAGCAAATCAAACATATGTCCTAACAGTATTAAAATAGGTTCATCAAACACAGCCTAACCTAAAGAAAATTAGTTACTCATAGTAAAAATTACAATACCGAGTACAAATAAGAGGGTTGCATAAAACTCCCTTGAAGAATTGGTCTCTAATGGCTTTAAATGCTCTCTAAATATGCCTTATAGTGCTGTAAACCCTTCCTTCACGTGTAAAATTTTAGAACCCTTGAAAAAATACCAAACTTCTTATTTTAAAATAGACATAATGCGTCAGAAAAGCTCAGAAAAAGTACCATCACGTACGTCATAACTTGCATTACGCATGCGATGTTGACTTTGCATTTCTATCACGCGTGTGATGCCCTGCATGATTATTCCAGTAGTTGCACTTTTTTTGCTTCATTTTTCACTTGATTTTCACTAAGTCCTCGATATTTCATACTTAATCATTTTTTCATCTTTATTTGGCCTTTATTCTTCAGTTTTACTCCTCTTTAATTTGTTTTGATCATTTCTTCGACCAAAAACATGTCATGACATAGTGTCATCACAACCCCAAACTTGAATCATTGTTTGTCCTTAAGTTACTTGTGTGCACTGCCAATTCCAAACATAAAAAAAGTTGCACAATAACAATTGAAAATCACCATATGACATTTTCTTTGCCTGTAATAACGATATTCAGATTCTCCCTAATGTCTATCGCACGAGTTATGCAAACATCTTTCACCTGCTTATTTTCCTTGCAACACAACACCAAAAATGTACATGTTTTAAAAAACAAAATTAAATTTAAAAATATAAAGACTTACTGACGGGTTTCCTCCCATCCAGCGTTTCTTTTCTATCATTAGCTTGACGGTCCATGCCTAAGGCACGCCAGACATAAGAGACACTCTCACGTTGTTTAATTCACTTTTATTCTTTCCTTTGTCCACTTTGCTCTTTTTTTCTTCCCTTCGGTAGCATGTATCCAGGTCATCTACATACGTGTCCACTCATACACATTAAACACTATTTTTTCCTTGTTGAACTTCAAACTCAGTTCACCAATTTCCACATCTATTAACGCCTTCTCGGTTGCCAAAAATGGCCGTTCGAGAATAACTGACCTTCATGTGTCTCCATTTATGTCAACCACCATGACATTTGGAGGAAAAACTAAACCATCAACATGTTTTAACACGTCTTGTAAGATACCATGAGGATGAGTAACAGATGAATCAACCAAAGTGAGAGTCATATCACTCGGTATGATCTCTCCCAATTTCAATTCTTTAACTTTATTGAGTGGAATTACATTGATACTAGATCCTAATCACATAAAGAATGTGAGATTCTTTACTCCGCCAATGGTACAAGAAATAGTAAACTTACCTGGATCCTTTAACTTTGGTAGCAATATTTAGGGCACTGCCGTATCGCCTTCCTCAGTCACGTTTACCTTTATTTGACCAACTTCTGCTTTGTACCCCTTAGCAATGCCTTCATAAACTTAACAAATTTGTGCATTATCTATAAAACTTCATGAAAAGAAATACTTACCTGAAGCATGGTCATCATCTCTTTGAACCTAGCAAACAGTTCTACCTTGTTTTCTTGTAACAATTTCTTCTTAATTATTGGATATGGTGGTTTTACATAATCGGGTAGTTCTGGATTAGGGTCGTTAAGAATCTGCTTCTTAGTACTTCTTCAAAGGGAGTTTTTGTCTATTGATTGTTCAATGGTGACTCTTTTCTTAGCTTAGTCACCTTGACTTTTACTCTCCATTGTTGGTGATTACCACAAAACCTATTTACAATGCCTTACAAGTCTCACTTTTGGGATTATTCACTGTGTTTCCTGTAAATCCTCCACTAGAGCTAGGTAAAGCGATTATTTTTCTAGATAGCTGACCAATGTTCATCTTCAAATTTTGTTATAGGCCTGTCATGGTTCTTACTCATTGTTTCATGTTGATTGTTCACCTAATCAAAACTGCTCTGAGTGGCCTGGATGAAGTTTTATAGGCCTCTTCTAGTTGTGAAGGTTTCCTTTGTATTAGAGCTTGTTAATTTTACTGAATACCTTGATTAGAACTTATATTATAGTTATTGTTGCATCTGAAATTTGGGTGATCCTTCCATCTGGGATTGTAGGTGTATGAATAAGGGTTATTCTTCTCAAAATTAGCAAATGAAGCTTATTCATTCTACCCTTCCAAATATCACCTTCCATTTCAATGCCCCTCTCCACAGAAACCACACTTAAGTGCTTTTATCTGACTCACATTAGCTTTACTCAAGCTGCTTTCAGCTAGCTTTTTATGCAATAATTCAATTTGGGCTAAAAGTGCAGTATGAGTATCAACAACTAACATACCTTTGGGGTGACCACAACTTCACTTTTTAATGACCTTTCTCTCTTTGAACAATATTCATTCAAGAGCATATTTTCAATAAGGTCTTTAACTTGTGGTTCAATCATTGTTCTGACTGTGCCTCTCGCTGAGGCATCTAGCTACATGTGTGTTTGACTTCTAAGACCTTCGATAAAATTCAGAAATTGCTCCATGTTATTCATATTATGATTCAGGCACATGCGTAATAAAATTTTAAAACTTTCCCTTGAGTCATACAAAAATTTAGTTTCATGTTGCTAAAAATTTGTAATTTCAACTCTTCGCTTAGCAAACCGAGTAGTGGTGAAGAATATCTCTAAGAAATTGTCCTTGAGCTCTTTCCATGTATGTATCGTTCTATTTGGAAGATAAAGTAACCAGTCTTTGGCTCTTCCAATTAGCGAGAAACTAAAGAACCTTAGTTTGACTTGCTCTTCAGTGACTTCGGCTAGCCTGCACATGGAAGCAGTTTCGTAGAAGCGAATTAAATGGTATCAATGTTGATCTTGAGTTGCGCGTACACAAACAAAAAACACCTCAGTATTATTGTAACTAACGAGAAAATAAAATAAATAAAAAATAAAAAATAATGCAAAATAAACAAGTGTTGCCTTGGTGAAATTATCAATAGTCCCCGACAACGGCGCTAAAAACTTGATGACTTCTCGGTAAGTGTATCGATAATATCGTAGTAATAAAAATACCGTATCCATAGAGACTGCTATTTAACAAGACAATATTGTGCAATTTTTATAAAATACTAAATTGGGGAGGGGGTTCAAGTTTTAAATGCGAAAATAAAATAAAGTGTCCTGTCAATAATATGAAAGTGGTCAAGTTGTGTATAGAATCTTGTATTTCTCTACTGTTGATGTTTGATGCATTACATGAATGATAGTGTCACTATAATTCCACGGCAGATTAACAAAACCAATATACTAAATCCTTTGGTGTTTAGCTCACTAATATATACTCAATTTTTTTATCCCTAGTGCACCAGCGTAAGCAAGATTAGACAATGTAATAAGACGCTAAACCTTAAGCCATTACTCGAGGTCTCCTATCCCTATTCAACAAGCGTAAGCACAACAATTGCGCTAGGTCCAACACATAGACTAGTGATCAGTATTCCTTATGTGCCCAAATTCAAATTAAAAGAGTATTTCACATAAAAAGCATTAAAAACAAGGTGTTAGAATTATAACTCAAATTATTCATGCAATAATAAATCAAACATATGTCTCATCAGTATTAAAATAGGTTCATAAGACACAACCTAACCTAAAGAAAATTAACCACTCACAGTGCAAATTACAATATCAAATACAAAAAAGAGGGTTATATAAGAAATCTCTTGAAGAATTGGTCTCAGGTGGCTTCAAATGCTTTTCAAATATACCTTTTGATGCTATAAACCATTTCTTCACGTGTAAAATTTCAGAACCCTTGAAAAAGTACTAAACTTCCCCTTTTAAAGTAGACAGAACGCCTTAGAAAATCCTAGAAAAAATACCATCACACTTGTTAAACTTGCATCGCGCGTGTGATACTGACTTTGCATATCTATCACGCGCACGATGTTGTGTGTGATTATTCCAGTAGCTGCACGTTTTTTCTTCCTTTTTTCATCTGATTTTTAGTAAGCCCTCATTGTAACACCCCCTTTCTATACCCCAAATAATCAAATAATCATTTAGGCACATATCAAAATTTCATCAGAGTATAATTGTAAACATGGTATAAAAGAGGTGCATCACATTACACAAACTATTAACACATACAACACCTGCTCAATTAAAGATATACAACAGTGGGGTAACTTAACCACAGAGGAACTTAGTCCTTTCACCCACATCTTAATATTTAGAATAAAAGCGGAAAATCTAAACATTGAACAATCACCAAACATGTATACATATATACATCATCCATCACGATTCAACATCAACAACATGTGTACGTAAACATTCATCATCAAGATACGGAGCCTTGTAAAAATTGAAAAGAATAACAAGCTTGGAATGCACGATTTAATAAGAGATATGGGAAGAGAAATTGTTCGAGAAAGTTCAGCAAAAGAGCCTGGAAAGCGTAGTAGATTGTGGTTTCGAGAGGATGTGCATGATATTTTGACAAAACAGACTGTAAGTACTTTCTCTTTATAAATGTGAAACTTTTGATCGTCCTCCATAATCTTATCAAGATCATGGCGTGGATGATTTTATTGTGTTTGCATTGGCATGCTCATTACAATGTTCCTAGCAAGCAATCAAAAAGGTTTATTTATACTCTTCTCCATTTTTTTCTCTTCACATGTAGGGAGTAGAAACTGTAGAGGGATTGGTTTTGCAGGTGCAAAGAACCAATAGAGTTGTCTTAAGTACTGATTCTTTCAAGGAGATGAAGAAACTGAGACTTTTACAACTTGATCATGCCATCCTCATTGGAGATTATCGGTATCTCTCGAAAGAACTGAGATGGATTCATTGGCAAGGATTTACCTTCAACTATATACCCGATGACTTTTATCAGGGAAATCTAGTTGTTATTAATGTTAAATACAGTAGTATGAAACAAGTGTGGAATGAAACCAAGGTATGCTATTTTCTTTCCGAAATCAAAGTTTGAAGACAGTAGTATTTGCTCCCACCTCTCTAATTTTTCTTTTGAACATTTATCTTCATGCAGTTGTTGGATAAACTAAAAATTCTCAATGTTAGTCATTCTAAGTACTTGAAAAACACCCCTGATTTTTCAAAATTACCGAATCTAGAAAAGCTCATTATGAAGAATTGTCCAAATTTGTCCGAGGTACACAAGTCTATTGGAGATCTTAGCAATCTACTTCTGTTGAATTTGAAAGACTGCACAAATCTTGGCAATCTCCCAAAGAAGGTCTATCAATTGAAATCATTGAAAACTCTTACACTTTCTGGTTGTTCAAAGATTGACAAGTTGGAAGAAGACATGGGGCAGATGGAATCCTTGACAACACTGAATGCAAGAGATACAGCTATGACTGAAGTTCCGCATTCAATACTAAGATTAAAAAGCATCGGATTTATATCCCTATGTGGATATGAAGGATTATCACGTGATGTTTTTCCTCGTCTCATTTGGTCTTGGATGACGCCAACCACGAATTCCCTACCCTGTATATCTCCATTTGGAGGCCGTTCATTGTCACTAGTTTCCTTGGATGTTTCGAGTAATAATATGGGCTATCAACTGCCAATGCTTAGAAACCTTTCAAAACATAGAAGTGTTTGGATTCAATGCCGGTCAGTGATTCAACTGACCCAAGAGTTAAGAAATTTTCTAGATGGTCTATATGATGTAAGTTTTACCAAGTTGGAAACAACATCACATGCATCACTAATCTTAGACATTTCGTTGAAATCGCTTCTGATTGAGATGGGAAATTGTCACATGGTCATTAACACTCTTGGCAAGAGCATATCACAGGTTCCTTCTCAATCCTCTATGATTTTTTGATATTTAAGAGAACATTGATTTTATGATTAATTAAATGCACTACAATTATGAAATTAACTAAGCATCTGCTAATGATACAGGGATTTGCAAACAATGATTCAAGCAACTTTTGCCTTCCAGATGGCAATTATCCTTCTTGGTTAGCCTATACATGTGAAGGACCATCAGTACTATTTCAAGTTCCTGAGGATATTGATTGTCACATGAAGGGAATAGTTCTATGTGTTGTTTATTCATCAACATCTGAAAACATGGCAGCTGAATGTCTTACTAATGTCTTGATCATTAACTACACAAAATGCACAATCCAAATATACAAGGGAGACACAGTAATGTCTTTTAATGACGAAGATTGGAAGGGTTTAACATCAAATCTAGGACCCGGTGACAATGTGGAGATTTTTGTAGCTTTTAGGCATGGATTGATTGTTAAAGAGACTGTTGTATATCTAATATATAACCACTCAGTTACTGTGGAAACTGATTCATCAATTAACCTGGAAATGAAGCTATCGCCGCAAGTGAACTTGCAGCCATCATCCGTTGTGAAAATGGAGCCATTACTTGATGTGAAAACGGAACCATCACAGAATCCGAATGCGAAAATATTTTCAAGACTTGCAAAGAGAATTGGAAAATGCTTATGCATAGAACAGAATAGAGGTCTGAACAATTTTTGATTGAGTATACCTTTGTCATCATCTCATAATATGAGGTTGTTCTATCTGTTAAGTAGAATTCATTTGGTTAATTTATTGTTTCAGTTGATAAGGTTCCGAAAGTCTTTGTAAGAATTTATTTCTCATTAGGTTTTGAAGAGTAGTGAATGACTGTATTTTGTAGCATAATCTATTTTTCAAAATAAACTTCATTCAACACTCTATCTGTTCTGTTCCAAAATCAGAAATGTGGAGAATCGCGGAAGCTGTGGTCGAGAGAAGCTTCCGATGCGACGGAGCCGGGATGTACCTGCAAGATTAACACTTCGACGCTTAATATGTGAATGATGAGAGAGTATTCAAATTAAACAAACAAATCATAGAGAGAAAAAAAGAAGAACGCATTAACAACACAAGAACATAATGAGAAAACTTTAAAATCAGACAAAAAATCACGACCATTGTCAATAAACAACTAGAAAATAACACTGTAAAAAAATTTACAACACATAAACTATCCTCAACCACCCCAAAGCCCCAATACACCCACACTTTCAAAAGAAAATATTTAACTGCATCTCACAACACTCTAATACAAAAATATAAGAGAGCAAAGGAAATCAACTCCAAGTTTAAAGTACTTTTGACAGGTGCATCTTGAAATGAAGAGAACTAATTAAATTCTATATATAGCTTTGGACTTTCTCCTGTTTCACAAAACTAAATTTTCAACAGTTGGATGGACGTTAGAAGAATGGATCTCCGGCTGAACCTGGTCAGGAGAACATTCAAGAAGCTTTAGTAAATGCATTGATGGTGATCATCTAGTTGAACTTCAAATTGTGTTTTTAAAATTTTCATTTTCATTTCAAATTGCTTTTATAAAAATTTCATTTTCATCTTTAATATTGACATTTTTAACCTTTTGTTTCTCTTCATTTAAATTTTATAGTAATGAGGAGATAATTTCCTTTACTCTAGGATTCATTTCTTCATCAAACCAAACAAAATGACTGTTTTTCTTGTAGTCTTATAGTTGAATACATCGATGGAGAAGAAATAAGAAATAAGATCAAAATAGTTATAAATGAAAACATAGCTTATACATCCCACAACTATAGAAACGACGATCTGGGTTCGCATCAGTCAATGTCATCATCAATAGAACATTAAGACCGAATTTGCATTCGAACCTCAAAGCACGACATTTGTTTCCAGTGTTGGGAACCGAATGTTAAGACACCAGTTTATGGGTTCACGAAGATTTGCTAGTGTTTGCTTGAAGTAAAAAGGAAGCATAAGAAGACGATGAAGGCAAGAAGAAAGAAAAAGTGGATTTTTAGGGTTTGCTTAAAGTAAGAAGAAAGAAGAAGTCTTGTTCAATTAAATAAAATATGAAAGCTGACATGACACCATTGAGGCAGTGTCATGTAATAAATGAGGAGAGCGTGGAAAAGTGAACCAATTTTTTATAAAGAAAAGTAAAGTTGATGGGAGAAAAAAAATTAAAAAAATAAATTAAAAACACTTAAATAAAGAAATCAAAAGTAACGAAAAAAAATCAAAGGTGAATATGAGAATATTTTCAAATCTATATAAAATAGTGAAACCCAAAATAGAAGCTTGAAATTCCGTAATGAATTCTTCTGTTTTATATTAATTATGTCGTGTAGTTTAGAAATGTGTGAGTAAAATTTCTAAAGTTTTTAAAAAATATTGAAACTATAATATTAAATCAGGAAAAAATAATTACTGATTGAATAGAACTAGTTAAACACATTGATATATGAAAAGCGCACAATCAAATCGATTATAAATTTATTTTGAAAAAACATACTTATTTCAAACTAATGTCTATGTTACAAAACATAAAAACTAAAAATGGCTAAGGTAGCATTTCAACGTTAGACAATAGGATAAATCTTATTCCTTTACCACTGAGCCACAATTTTTTTATGGATACGTTTTCTTTTGTGAAGACTCAAATCTGGTGATTGTAGCTTTGTGGTATTTATTTATTTATTCTAGTCTTTAGTTTTCAGATTGTAATACTCTGTCTAGCCTATCCTTCATAGGTTAAAAGATAGAGTATTTATTTGTAATTGGGATATCACAACTATATTTTTTTTTAATTGGACAAATATTCAGAATGTTTGGGATAGTTCAGATAAGATCACTTTATATTTCTAACTATTAAGAACAAATTTCTTTTCCTTGGACAAAGCGTAAGTGACATTGCGCCAAAATGAATTAAGTTCTTTATTTTATTTTGCCTATTTGTCCATAACTCACTTACTAATACTACCATATTGTCAGGCATATTGCTAGTATTATGTGTGACATCAATGATTATCACAACTATTTAATATTTAAATGTGATTAAAATAAAATAAAAATATATGATTGTAATAAATAAGTGAGTGTTAGTATCTGTACATGCCAATAATTATCAATTAATTTGAATAGATAAATTGGCCATTTCCACCGTAGAAAAATTAGGCCAAATGTCACCATAAATAATAAATGCTTGTATAAATTCATTCAACTTTAAAAAAGAGTTAGTTGAAGATTCCATAAATAATAAATGCTTGTATAAATTCATTCAACTTTAAAAAAGAGTTAGTTGAAGATTGTTCTAAGATCAACTCATAAAGTGGGTATACTAACATAACACTCATATTTAATGTTTCTAATTAAGCAACGGTTTTTATATTAAAAAAGAGTTAGTTGAAGATTGGCATGCTTTTAAACAGTTCTTAATTAAGCAACAGTTTTTATATTAAAATATTAATTTTATAATATAAAAACTATAATTTAATATAAAATTTTATTTATCATTTTAATTATCATATGAAAACTATAATTACAATATTAAAATATTGATTTTATAATATAAAAACTATATTTTAATTATAAGTTTAATTTGAATTTTATTTATTTTATTTTTATTTATTTTAAATTATAATTATAATTTCAATTTTTATTTTATTTTATATCAAATTTAATTTAAAACACTAAAATTAACTAAGGAGAGATTGAAATATTTTTTTAAGTTTAATCTAATTTTTTTAAAGTTTATATAATAGAATGAAATATTTTTTATTAAAACAACACTATATACCGGTTGACCTATATAGTAGACTGGAATAATTTTCTGTAAAAAAATTAAAATTATTATTTTAAGTGATATAAAATTTAATATGAATAAAATATTAACATATGAAGTAAACTTGTGAGACCCAATATGAGTTCTTCAGAATTGCACCATTGGAGTGAAAAATTAGTTGAGTTGCTTAAAGCTGACTTAATAGGTCCCACAAAGAACCCAAAAATGAATTTATTATTGAAGATGCTCTAAGTCATTGCAATACGAAAAAAGGAACCTGTTGCTCTTTGTTGACTTCATTTCTAGTAATCTATGGATTCTTCTTCTTCATGGTCTTCCAATTCTCGATGGATACGCGACGTGTTCATCAATTTCAGACCACAAGACAATAGCAATACTTTCGTTTCTCATATAACTCACGCCTTCACAAAAGCCGGAATCAACGCCTTCATCGACGATCAGCTTCACATGGGAACCGAATTGGAGCCAGAATTACTGCGAACTATAGAAAAATCTCGTTTATCAATCCTTGTTTTCTCAAAAAACTACACTGAATCTAGCTGGTGTCTTAAAGAACTGCAAAAAATCATTGAATGCCGCAGAAATCTTGGACAGCGGGTTGTTTCTGTATTTTATGATGTTTATCTATCGGTTGTTCGCCACCAGAATGGTAGTTTTGGAAAAAAGTTGAAAGCTACTGCAAAAAGAATATGTTTTAATTCAAGAACAAGAAAGAGAGAGATGCTCACTAGTTGGAAGAGTGCACTCAAAGAAGCTGCTGGTTTTTGTGTGTCTTAAGCTATAAAGCACACATACGATAAAGACACTGACATGTCTTGCGATAGTGGTAATTAATAATTTGTAAAAGAATAAATAAATTGAACTTAATCACGAGTGTTACACTAAACACCGGTTATGTCTTTATTCAAAAGTGTCAGTGATGTTAACTCTCGGGTTGCTTTGTAGTCTAGAGTTCCATAAGTGAAGCCTAACTAAAAGTTGTTTATCGAACGATTTGTAGTTGAATGTGTTGAAAGCTGTTAAATTCTGTTTTGGAAATTTAACAGCATGATCACTTTAGTTGGTTTTTGTTTGTTTTTGGATTATTCTCTCAAGTGTATAAATACGTTTTGTAATTTTCAATTCCAATTAATGCCAATTTTAATTCATCCAATAATACTCTCTACCCTAATTCTCTTTCTCTCTCAATTTCATCTTCTTCCCCAATTTCTTTTTCACCATTGTACCTTCAATCTTTGTTTTTGTATGTTGTTCTAACATTTGGCATCAAGAGCTCCGGTTATTGATCCTAATCCACTGCAACAATGGTTACCGTTTCTAATGATCAAAATCCCACCAATCTCCCAATTCTTGATTCGAAGAACTACGACAAATGGGCGAAACAAATGAAGGTTCTGTTTGGTTATCAAGAGGTTCTTGAGATCGTCATCAATGGAGTTACACCGTTAGGGGCAGATGCTACCGAAACTATTAGGGCTACACACAGGGAAGAAAAGAAGAAGGATTACAAAGCCCTATTCTTGATTCAATCTTGTGTTGATAACGACAATTTCGAGAAGGTTGACGATTGTGAATCCGCGAAGCAAGCATGGGAAATCTTGGAGAAAGCATATGCCGGTGCCGTTAAAGCGAAGGTGGTAAGGTTACAAACTTACAAACGTCAATTCGAGTTAACGCAAATGGAGGACAAAGAAATGATCAACGATTACATTACGCGCATTACCCGGTTAGTTAATCAAATCAAGTCATGTGGAGAAACGATTCTTGAGCAGAATGTTGTATCGAAAGTGTTGCGTTCGTTAACATCACGATTCGATAATATAGTGGTGGCTATTGAAGAGTCAAAGGATCTAACTAATTTGAGCAAGGATGAGTTGCAAAGTTCGTTAGAGGCCCATGAACAAAGGATGGATGAGAGAGGTGCCGACAAAGCCAAAGCGGAGATCGCTTTGCAAGCGCGTTTTAATGAGAAGAATAAGAGGTCGAAAGGAAAATTTGCAGCTAGAGGTAAGCCAAATTTTCAGAAGTTTGGTGCAAACGAGTCTCAAAATTCGAAGAATTCGATGGGTGAAAAAGGTGAGAGCAGCTCCAAGGAGAGTAATCATAGCAATGGTATCAAAAGGGATTTGAGTAAAGTGCAATGTTTCAAGTGTAAAAGGCTTGGACACTTTCAATCTATGTGTCGTGTTAGATTGAATAAAACTCAAAATGATGAAGCCAAGGTTGCTAGAGAAGAGAGAGATGATGAAGACACCCTTTTAGTGATGATCACAGAGGAGAATTATGACACTGTTGATGTTCAGAACAACAACTACTGTGGTGATAGTTTGCGGGACAACAACTGTACTATTTCGGAAAGTGGTGAGAAAATGCATTCGGATCGAAATGCATTAGTTACCGTGCATGATGGAGTTCAAAGTAAAGATGAATGGTACTTGGATTCCGGTTGTTTAACACATATGACGGTCAGAAGGATTGGTTTGTGGAAATCAACCAAGCGGCAAAGAGTAAAGTCAAGTTTGCCGACGACACCATTTTAAGCGCCAAAGGGGTAGGAGATGTTTTGATCGGAAGGAAGAATGATGGACATTCAAGGATCAAAGATGTCTTGTACATACCGGAAATTAAGTGAAATCTTTTGAGCATTGGCCAATTACTTGACAGAGGGTACTTAATTCGGTTGGAAAACAAGATGTTACGCATTTTAGATTCAAGTGGTGTGTTGATTCTAAAAGCGCCGATGGCTGCCAATAGAACTTTTAAGGTTGATTTAAAGGTTATGGAGCATCGTTGTTTAGCTACCGCAGCAAGTAGAGATGAGTGGTTATGGAATTACCGTCTTGGTCACCTAAATTTTAGGGATCTCAAAATGTTGCAACAAAGTGAAATGGTAACGGGGCTGCCACATATTAGTGTTCCGACAGAATTGTGTGAGGAATGTGTGAAGAGTAAGCAACACAAGAATGTGTTTAGCAAGGATGCAGGTCGAAGAACCAAAGGCTTACTTGAGGTGGTGTATTCCGATGTTTGTGGGCCGATGCAAGTAGAGACTTATGGCGGCAATCAATATTTTGTTATGTTTATTGACGACTTTAGTAGGAAGCTTTGGACATATCTTATCAAGAGGAAGGTTGAGGTATTTGGAGTGTTCAAGAGTTTCAAATCCATGGTGGAACGTCAAAGCGGTCGAAAGCTCAAAATTCTCAAAACGGATGGTAGAGGTGAATATACCTCTAGTGAGTTTGGGAAGTTTTGTGATCTTGAGGGTATTGCGCGTGAGGTGATGCCTCCATATATGCCTTAACAAAACGGAGCTGCCGAGAGGAAAAATCGTACAATAATGAACATGGTGCATATTATGCTTTGTGGGAAGAAGTTGCCTAAGGAATTGTGGGGTGAGGCCGTGTCTACAACCACCTACTTGTTGAATAGGTATTCTACTAAGAACCTGGAGAAGATCACACCAAAAGAGGTTTGGAGTGGTTTCAAACTGAGTGTGAATCATTTGCGCGTTTTTGGATCGATTGCATATCGTCATGTAGCGAATCAACTTAGAAAGAAGTTGGATGATAAAGGTGAGAAGTTGATATTTGTTGGATATCACTCTACTGGAGGGTACAAGCTATTTGATGAGAAGAATCGGAAAATCGTGATAACCTGGGATGTATTTTTTGAAGAAATAAAAACTGCTAAAACAGCAGGTGTAATCGATTACCCGACTGCTGCTAATCGGTTACATCCTGCAGAACAGCAGCAGTTCTTCGAGTTGTCTGATCCGGAGGGTTCCAATGCCGCTGTACCTGCACCTACAGTTGTGGAAAATGTTGTAGTGAATAATGGTAAACCAGTAAGGCAAAGAGCCTTGCCTCATAGACTCCGAGACTACGAGAGGTTCCAAGATAACAAAGTGAATAATGATGGTGATTTTGTTCATTTCGCGCTTATGGCCGAATCTGAACTGGTAAATGAGGAGGAAGCCTTAAGCGATCCTAAATGGATATGTGCAATGAAAGAGGAGCTGGAATCTATTGATAAAAATGGTACTTGGGAGTTGGTCGATTTACCACTCGGAAAGAAACCGATAGGTGTGCGATAGGTCTATAAAGTTAAAGCAAATCCTAAAGGCGAAGTAATCAAGCACAAATCTTGATTAGTGGCGAAAGGGTTCTTGCAACGTGAAGGTATAAATTACGAGGAGGTATTCGCACCGGTGGCTAGATTGGAGACTATTCGTTTGGTTGTTGGGATTGCGCATAACAACAATTGGGTGATTTACCAAATGGATGTAAAATCTGCGTTTTTGAATGGTCCTCTTGATGAGGAAGTTTATGTGGGGCAGCCATTCGGTTTCGTGATTAAAAATCAAGAGAGGAGGTATTACAAGCTACACAAGGCGTTGTATGGTTTGAAACAAGCTCCAAGAGCTTGGAACAAACGTATAAATGGATTTCTTGTTGACATCGGTTTCAAACGATGTGTATCCGAACATGGTGTTTATGTGAGATCAGGTAATATTGATGGTGTTATTATACTATGCTTGTATGTTGATGATCTCTTAATTACGGGCAGCAATGACAAGAGTATTTCAAGTTTTAAAGGGGGGCTCATGAGTGAGTTTGAGATGACGGACCTTGGGGTCATGAGTTACTTTCTTGGCATAGAGTTTCACAAGTCAAAAGTGGGGCTGCTTATGCATCAAAGGAGGTATGCTCTAGATATATTGAAAAAGTGTGAGATGGAGAATTGTAATGCTTGTATTACACCTTGTGAGGCTAGAGTACAGCTGTCCAAAAGTGATGATGAAGATGATGTTGATCCAACACTTTACCGGAGTTTTATTGGATCGTTACGGTATTTGTGCAATACTCGACCAAATTTGGCTTTTAGTGTCGGTACTGCGAGTAGATTCATGGAGATACCTAAGGTGTCTCACTTGGCAGCGGTCAAGAGAATCCTTAGATATGTGAAAGGCACTCTTGGTTGCGGAATTCTTTTCCCCGCATCGGATATAGGTCGCAAATGTACTTTACTTGGCTAGACTGATTCTAATTGGTTCGGAGATAAAGATGATCGAAAATCGACGGCGGGTTACATCTTTATGTTTAATAGTACACCAATATCATGGTGTTCGAAGAAGGAACCAGTTGTAGCACTCTCTTCTTGTGAGGCCGAGTACATTGCGGCATCGTTGAGTGTGTGCCAAGCTATGTGGCTTGTGAATCTTATGAAGGAATTAGGATGTGGTGATGATGATGTTACCACACTGTTTGTGGATAATGTTTCTGCGATAAATCTTGCGAAGAATCCGATTGCACACGGAAGGAGCAAGCATATTGAGACGCGGTTTCATTACTTGAGAGAATTGGTCAGTGATGGAAAGCTTAAATTGAGCTATTGCCGAAGCAAGGACCAAGTTGCGGATTTGTTGGCAAAGGGTGTGACAAATGAGGTGTTCAAGAGACTGTTGAAGAGCTTGAGCATGATGAATTTGGAGCAACTAAAGTGAGGTGGTGTGTTGAAAGCTGTTAAATTCTATTTTAGAAATTTAACAGCATGGTCACTTTAGTTGGTTTTGTTTGTTTTTGGATTATTCTCTCAAGTGTATAAATACGTTTTGTAATTTCCAATTCCAATTAATGCCAATTTTAATTCATCCAATAATACTCTCTACCCTAATTCTCTTTCTTCCCAATTTCATCTTCTTCCCCAATTTCTTTTCCACCATTGTTACTACCTTCAATCTCTGTTTTTCTATGTTGTTCTAACAGAATGGAACT